CCTACACACCTTAACGCTGCCAGTCCTTAATTCTCCCTCTACTGGGTTAAGGACTGAGGAAGTTGGACCTGGGTCTGAGCAGGACATGTGCAAACCAAATGCTGGGGACTGGAACACACACCTTGCACTCCTGCAGCTCTTACCATTACATTCAAAAGAAAACAGCCAATTGGACCATCACTGCTCGTTTCTTAATCCCAATCCCACACTTCCTTTGCACTTGGAGCACCACTTTTAGAACCCAATTACAGTCCAGTAGAGAGCTCCATGTCTAGCATGGACAGCTACACCTGGGATACTCCCAGCAATGCCTGAATCCAGTGCAGGGACCTTGCTTTGAACTCCCCAGGGCCGGGCACCCCGAGGATCTCCCCGAATAATCCTTTCGGTGCGCGCTGGAGTCCTCGGGGTGCCCCAACCCGGGGGGCACCAACAGCACTGTCCCTCCAGGGGGGCCCAATTTGGTCCTAAAATGCAGGGGGATCTTGCCTGTGTCCCAGACTGGTCCGGGGATCTGAGGCCCTTCCCGAGAAAATCTCGGTGCCGGCGTGAAGGGCCAGAGATCCCTTGGAGCCACGGGAGAGCAGGCACAGAGTCCCTCCTGCAGGGCCAATTCTGCTGCCTGAACTCAGCTCTTCCAAGAAGCCTCTAAGATTCAGCTGGTGAGGTTTAGAAGCCAGGCATTCCTTGCTTACAACACCCTGCCATGATCCCAGCCCACCAGCTGTCCTGGCAATCAGCTCCCAAAGGGCACACACAGCTATCTCCACTGCAGCTGATGGGAGGGGTCAGCATTACATGAGGGTTCATTTTCCTTCCCTGCATTCCTGTTCCACGTTCAGGACATTTTCCAACACTCATTACCATACACACCTACCCTTAGAAGGTTTCCAAGGGGCTTCACCGAGGGCCTTCGCAGGTCTGCTCTGTCTGGAGCCCTCAAAGTCCTCAGTGCCTGCCTTAGGAATTTCAAGAGAACTCACCTGTTTACAGTGTAACTTAGTGGTGCTTGTCTACTGCCTCACTTCCCTTCTTCCTTCTTTCTTCACCTCCCTTGGTTGGTCCCTTTAAATCCCTTGGCTCAGCTCTGTGCAGCTTCCAGGCTACATCCCACTGCAAAAAGGATTAGCTCTTGTTACATCTCAACACTCAGGTATCATTCCCCCTTTTTCCTGACACTTGGCCATTAGGCCAGTGTCTCATGATTTAAAGCAGAGTTTGACTCCTCAGTGACAACAACAGCTACAGCCCTGAATCATAACACAGGCTGAGACACAAACACGGATGGGAACTCTGAAGGATCCACTTTGTCCTGCTCACCAATCAAAAGGAGCTTTCTGAACTCAAGAATAACAGACCCCAGGTCCTTTTTCTGCAATGTCAACTGCTATAAATGTGACCCACAAGACCTGCAAAGGCCCTTCCCACTTCACCTGCAGGGCTGGCAGTGCCACCACTGGACACGGACCCAGTGGCTGGGCAGGAACGGAGGGGCTGGGGCGTCCAATCCATCGGCCCAGGCGGCACCAGGAGTTCCTGGAGCTCCTCAGGGGAGAGCCTCAAGCCAACAAAGGATTATGGAGATCATTTTCAACTTCAATAGGTATATCTCCTGGAATATGGGGACTTTGACAAGGCCTACAGGTGCAACAAGGACACACTCAAGGCTATCTATTAAAAGCATCTACTAGCACTCAAAAGCTGTCACTATCCTTCTTGCAGGGGCAACTCAGGAAACTCTCTTGGCCAAGAGCCTCCAGGAGGATTTCCAGCTTTTGGGGCTCTCTTTTAACTATTTTTCCCATCACTCTAGCTGGGACTATCACCTGCCCTACAGGGGGAACAGCCCACAAAGTTCACTTGCAGGGATGCCATTAATTGAAAGTCCCTTGTTGGGGGGTCACTGCACACCCTGTCCTTTGTTTGCCCTCCCCAGCAAAGATGCTTCCAACAGTTCTGAGAGATCTGGCAGACCCAGAGCTCTCCTCAGGGAATGCTTTAGCTGCTTAAAGGCTGCCATTGCACCATCTAGCCAAGGCAGCAAATGCTTACAGGCTGTTCTTAAAAGCTGGTATAAAAGTCTTACCACACATCCAGAGGGAGCAATCCAGAGTCCACCCCGTCCTACCATTCCCAGGAAGGCAGTTCAGGGGCTGTCTGGGGCTCAGGGAGGAGTCAGGTGGCTTCTCTTCTTCCTTTCCCCTTTCCAGATTTTCTCCTCCAAAGGCAACGGCCATCTTTTAAACCTAAGGTTGTCATTCAAGGTGGTTCTCTCAGGTCCTGCACTCATCAATCATCTCGGCCATTGGTTCCTTGGCAGGTTCTTGCATTCACGTCCTACAAGCAAACCAGGATGAGCCAATTTAGCTGTTACTGCAACCAATCCAAGCTGGAATTCTGATTTTAAAGGATACTGCCTTTGCCTTACCCATATAGATCCCACATTAGGGGTAATTCCTACAGGTTCTGCCCTCTTCCACTCTCCTGCAACTCCACTGGCCCACACCACAGGAACAACTGCAGCTGCCACTTCAGTCGGGACCTTGCTGCTGACAGGAGTTATTCCCTGCACAACAAGAGCTGCTGCTTTGACACATTTAGTTCCAGCAATTACAGTTTCAACATCCCTAGTTTTCCATTTCATTTCTGCCTCAGCTTTTCCACTCAATCTCTTCCTAGCCCAGGTTTGGCTGAGTTTGGCAAAGAGACAAACTGAGGAATTCCCCAATGTTTTCCCAGTTTAACCCCTGTCACACCAGTCACCTTAACACTGCCAGTCCTTAATTCTCCTTCTCTTGGGTTAAGGACTGAGGAAGTTGAACCTGGGTCTCACCAGGACATGTGCAAACCAAATGCTGGGGACTGGAACACACACCTTGCACTCCTGCAGCTCTTACCATTACATTCAAGAGAAAACAGCCAATTGGACCATCACTGCTCGTTTCCTAATCCCAATCCCACACTTCCTCTGCAGTTGGAGCACCACTTTTAGAACCCAATTACAGTCCAGTAGAGAGCTCCATGTCTAGCATGGACAGCTACACCTGGGATACTCCCAGCAATGCCTGAATCCATTGCGGGGACCTTGCTTTGAACTCCCCAGGGCCGGGCACCCCGAGGATCTCCCCGAATAATCCTTTCGGTGCGCGCTGGAGTCCTCGGGGTGCCCCAACCCGGGGGGCACCAACAGCACTGTCCCTCCAGGGGGGCCCAATTTGGTCCCAAGGCTTCAATGGACAGCCCAAAAGGCATTTCAAGAGCCCTTCTTTGGAACCCACCAATGTGTACGGGGAGGAAGCCACAAGAAGGCCTCATTTCTAAATGCAGGGGGATCTTGCCTGTGTCCCAGACTGGTCCGGGGATCTGATGCCCTTCCCGAGAAAATCTCGGTGCCGGCGTGAAGGCCCAGAGATCCCTTGGAGCCACGGGAGAGCAGGCACAGAGTCCCTCCTGCAGGACCAATTCTGCTGCCTGAACTCAGCTCTTCCAAGAAGCCTCTAAGATTCAGTTGGAGAGGTTTAGAAGCCAGGCATTCCTTGCTTACAACACCCTGCCATGATCCCAGCCCACCGAGTGCCCTGGCAATCAGCTCCCAAAGGGCACACACAGCTATCTCCACTGCAGCTGATATGGCAGCATTACAGGAGGATTCATTTTTGTTCTCTACATTCCTGTTCAGCATTCAGGGCATTTTCCAACACTCATTACCATACACACCTACCCTTAGAAGGTTTCCAAGGGGCTTCACCGAGGGCCTTCCCAGGTCTGCTCTGTCTGGAGCCCTCAAAGTCCTCAGTGCCTGCCTTAGCAATTTCAAGACAACTCACCTGCTGACACAGGCACTTGGTGCTGCTTGGCTGCTGCCTCACTTCCCTTCTTCCTTCTTTCTTCACCTCCCTTGGTTGGTCCCTTTAAATCCCTTGGCTCAGCTCTGTGCAGTTTCCAGGCTACATCCCACTGAAAAAAGGATTAGCTCTTGTGATATCTCAACACTCAGGTATCATTCCCAGTTTTTTCTTTACATTCAGCCACTAGGCCAGTGTCTCATTATTTAAAGCAGAGTTTGACTCCTCAGTGACAACAACAGCTACAGCCCTGAATCATAACACAGGCTGAGACACAAACACGGATGGGAACTCTGAAGGATCCACTTTGTTCTGCTCACCAACCAAAAGGAGCTTACTGAACTCAAGAAGAAGAGACTCAACATCCTTTTTCTGCAACTTTGGCTACTATAAATGAGACCCACAGGACCTGGAAAGGCCCTTCCCACTTCACCTGCAGGGGCTGGCAGTGCCACCACTCGACACGGACCCAGGGGCTGGGCAGGAACGGAGGGGCTGGGGCGTCCAATCCATCAGCCCAGGCGGCACCAGGAGTTCCTGGAGTTCCTCAGGGGAGAGCCTCAAGCCAACAAAGGATTATGGAGATCATTTTAAACTTCAATAGGTATATCTCCTGGAATATGGGGACTTTGACAAGGCCTACTGGTGCAACAAGGACACCCTCAAGGCTATCTATTAAAAGCATCTACCAGCACTCAAAAGCTGTCACTATCCTTCTTGCAGGGACAACTCAGCAAACTCTCTTTGCCAAGAGCCTCCAGGAGGATTTCCAGCTTTTAGGGCTCCCTTTTAACCATTTTTCCCATCACTCTAGCTGGGACTATCACCTGCCCTACAGGGGGAACAGCCCACAAAGTTCACTTGCAGGGATGCCATTAACTCAAAGTCCCTTCTCAGGGGGGTCACTGCACACCTTGGCCTTGGTTTGCCCTCCCAAGCAAAGATGCTTCCAACACTTCTGACACATCTGGCAGACCCAGAGCTCTCCTCAGGGAATGCTTTAGCTGCTTAAAGGCTGCCCTTGCACCATCTAGCCAAGGCAGCAAATGCTTACAGGCTGTTGGAAAAGTTGGCATAACAGTCTTACCACACATCCAGAGGGAGCAATCCAGAGTCCACCCCGTCCTACCATTCCCAGGAAGGCAGTTCAGGGGCTGTCTGGGGCTCAGGGAGGAGTCAGGTGGCTTCTTTTCTTCCTTCCTGCTTTCCAGATTTTCTCCTTCAAAGGCAACGGCCATCTTTTAAACCTAAGGTTGTCATTCAAGGTGGTTCTCTCAGGTCCTGCACTCATCAATCATCTTGGCCATTGGTTCCTTGGCAGGTTCTTGCATTCACGTCCTACAAGCAAACCAGGATGAGCCAATTTAGCTGTTACTGCAACCAATCCAAGCTGGAATTCTGATTTTAAAGGATACTGCCTTTGCCTTACCCATATGGATCCCACATCAGGGGTAATACCTACAGGTTCTGCCCTCTTCCACTCTCCTGGAACTCCACTGGCCCACACCACAGGAACAACTGCAGCTGCCACTTCAGTCGGGACCTTGCTGCTGACAGGAGTTATTCCCTGCACAGCAAGAGCTGCTGCTTTGACACATTTAGTTCCAGCAATTACAGTTTCAACATCCCCAGTTTTTAATTTCATTTCTGCCTCAACTTTTCCACTCAATCTCTTCCTAGCCCTGGTTTGGGTGAGTTTGGCAAATAGGGAAACTGAGGAATTCCCCAATGTTTTCCCAGTTTAACCCCTGTCACACCAGTCACCTTAACACTGCCAGTTCTTAATTCTCCTTCTCTTGTGTCTGACCAGGACATGTGCAAACCAAATGCTGGGGACTGGAACACACACCTTGCACTCCTGCAGCTCTTACCATTATATTCAAGAGAAAACAGCCAATTGTACCATCACTGCTCATTTCTTCTGTGCCACAGCAACATCATTCCAGGCCTCTCACTGACAACCTTATGCTTCTCCCAGCAGCTCCAGTGGCACCAAAACTTGTCCTGAAGGCACAAAGGCTCCTTTTGGAAGCACCATGACCCACCTAGACTGTAGCACTGGAATTCCATCTCCTGGACAAGCTGGGAGAAGCAGGCAAGAAAAACAGGACCTTACAGGTGAATTGGGGGCACCTCTTCAGCCAACAGCAGCTCCAAGAAAGGTACTGAGTCAACACCTCACCAAAACCACAGGAAAACAACTGCCAACACCTCAACAATCACTCCAGTTTTCAATTGAGAAAGCAACACTGAAGAAAAGCTTTTCAGACACTTGGGAAGTGTCCATCCCACTTTAACCAGTTTGTGGGACTCGTTCCCAGCCTCCTGAGGTTCATTTCCCACCTCACTCGGTGCTGCAGTACACCTGGTTCTACACACACACACAGGGAGCTGCTGCTCCTGGATCCCAGACTCCTGGTTCTCCTTGCAACTCCTCCAGCTGTTTGCCCAGCTCTCCAGTGCCCATTCCTTTGCCCACTGCACTTGTTCACAGCCCCAGGGCTCCCAGGGCCACCCGGGGCTCTCCCCTGCCCTGACACTCAGGGCCCTTTCCCAGCCCCGACTCCATCCAGCACTGACACAGCTGCTGCACCTGCAAGTCTCCTGCTCCTGCCCTCCCTCTGCCTGCAAAACACTCCTGCCAGCTCCTGCACCCCCACCTCTTACCTCCCAGGAAAACACAGCTGCATCCTCCTGGATCCTCCAGCTGGATGCTGCTGGCTCTGGGCAGCTCCCACCCTTCAGCAGGGGATGCCAAAGGCAGCTCTGGGGACTGTCCCCAGGGCAGGGACACCCACTCTGGGTCACACCAACACTCAGCCATCTCAGGCCTGGGCTCTTCTGCCTGCAGGGCAACAAACAGCCAAGCAGGGACACTGGGACACTCCAAGGAAACAGGGACAACACACTCCACAGCCTGGCACACCACAGCCCCCAAACCTGCCCAGGCTCCAGCTGCTGCACAGACCTGTGGCCACACAGGACCCAAACCCACCCCCAGCACAGACAACCCTGGGCAGGTCAAGCTGCTCATTCCCAACCACAACCAAACAGCCAGTGCCACTGTCTGCCAGCCCCTGCTCCCAGCAATCAATCATCTTGCCCATTTCCTTTCTTTACAGCTCCTTGCATTCACATTCTGCTATCAAACCATCAGCAGCAAATTCAGCTCTTACTAGAACCAATCCAGCTTGGCTTCCTAATTTTAAAGGATACTTGGTTTGCCTTACCAGGAGAGACTCTGGCTTAGGGGTAATTCTTACAGGTTCTGTCCTTGTCCATTTTCTTGGAATTCCACTGGCCCACACCACAGGAACAACTGCAGCTGCCACTTCAGTCAGGACCTTGCTGCTGACAGGAGTTATTATCCCTCTGTAAACACCAAACTGCTTCAATACAAACAATCCAGTGGACACTACAACTCCTTGGCACTTTCAGTGGAACCAGTGCAAGTCAGTTGCTAAGTTACACAAGGTTTTCTTCTCAAGTTGTAATTAATTCAGATATCAAAACAACAACAACTGTGAGATAAGAGATCCCCCCCCAATGGTTCTACTTTTAGGGAAACAAAAACCCAAACCCCCATCCCCAGTACTACAATAGCTCAGGCTCCCAGAAAGGCCCAGGGGCTGGGCTGGGGCTTTTGGCTGCCCTGGAGCACAGGGAGGAACACGAGGTCACCACCCCACAGCCACAGCTGAGAACCCAAAGAGCAGCCACACCAGCAGCTCCTGCCAGCCCTGCTGGGCTGGGCCTTGGGGAGGAAGGGCACTGGCCTTTCTTCCTGCCTAGGAGCAAAGAGCCTCCTTGCTGAGCACTTCTCCTGCCAAGGCCATCAGCTCAGACAGGAAGTTCATCAAGGGCAACTCCTTGCACTGAGCACGATTGCTCTTCCCTGGACAATCTCCTTCCAACTGAACTCAGCAGTACACACAAGTGTTCAGGTGTTACCTAAAATTTCTTACAAGAACCTCTGAGACTCAACTGATGAGTTTTAGAAGCCAGGCAACCTTTTATTCCTATGCTCTTGAATCATTCCAGCCCGCCAGGTGTCCTGGCAATCAGCTCCCAAAGGGCACACACAGCTATCTCCACTGCAGCTGATATGGCAGCATTACAGGAGGGTTCATTTTCCTTCCCTGCATTCCTGTTCCACGTTCAGGACATTTTCCAACACTTACTACCATACACACCTACCCTTAGAAGGTTTCCAAGGGGCTTCACCGAGGGCCTTCGCAGGTCTGCTCTGTCTGGAGCCCTCAAAGTCCTCAGTGCCTGCCTTAGGAACCTCAAGACAACTCACCTGCTGACACAGAAACGTGGTGCTGCTTGGCTGCTGCTTCACTTCCCTTCTTCCTTCTTTCTTCACCTCCCTTGGTTAGTCCCTTTAAATCCCTTGGCTCAGCTCTGTGCAGTTTCCAGGCTACATCCCACTGAAAAAAGGATTAGCTCTTGTTACATCTCAACACTCAGGTATCATTCCCACTTTTTTCCTGACACTTGGCCATTAGGCCAGTGTCTCATGATTTAAAGCAGAGTTTGACTCCTCAGTGACAACAACAGCTACAGCCCTGAATCATAACACAGGCTGAGACACAAACACGGATGGGAACTCTGAAGGATCCACTTTGTTCTGCTCACCAACCAAAAGGAGCTTTCCTAACCCAGGAATAATAAACCCCAGGTCCTTTTTCTGCAACTTCGGCTGCTATAGATGTGACCCACAAGACCTGGAAAGGCCCTTCCCACTTCACCTGCAGGGCTGGCAGTGCCACCACTCGACACGGCCCCAGGGGCTGGGCAGGAACGGAGGGGCTGGGGCGTCCAATCCATCGGCCCAGGCGGCACCAGGAGTTCCTGCAGTTCCTGAGGGGAGAGCCTCAAGCCAACAAAGGATTAGGAAGAGCATTTCAAACTTCAATATGTCTATCTCCTGGAATATGGGGAGTTGGACAAGGCCTACTGGGGTAACAAGGACACACTCAAGGCTGTCTATTCAAAGGATCTACCAGCACTCAAAAGCCATCACTGTCCTTCTGTCAGGGGGAACTCAGCAAACTCTGTTTGCCAAGAGCCTCCAGGAGGATTCCCAGCTTCTGTGGTTCTCTTTTAACTATTTTTCCCATCATGTAGCTGGGACTATCACCTGCCCTGCAGGGGGAACAGCCCACAAAGTTCACTTGCAGGGATGGCATTAACTCAAAGTCCCTTCTCAGGGGGGTCACTGCACACCTTGGCCTTTCTTTGCCCTCCCCACCAAAGATGCTTCCAACAGTTCTGACACATCTGGCACACCCAGAGCTCTCCTCAGGGAAGGCTTCAGCTGCTTAAAGGCTGCCCTTGCACCATCTAGCCAAGGTAGCAAATTCTTACAGGCTGTTCTTAAAAGCTGGCATAACAGTCTTACCACACATGCAGAGGGAGCAATCCAGAGTCCAGCCCGTCCCACCATTCCCAGGAAGGCAGTTCATGGGCTGTCTGGGGCTCAGGGAGGAGTCATGTGGCTTCTTTTCTTCCTTGCGGCCGTCCAGATTTTCTCCTGCAAAAGCAAAGGTTTCTTGGCTTTCCTTGCTCAAGGAGATGCAGCAAAGGCCATCTTTGCAATCTCATACTGGAAACCACACCAGGTTGTCACTTAGAGGGGTTCTTTCAGGTCCTGCACTAATCAATCCCCTTGGCCATTGGTTTTCTTGGCAGGTTCTTGCAGGGACATCCTGCAAGCAAACCAGGATGAGCAAATTTAGCTGTTCCTGCAACCAATCCAAGCTGCCATTCTGATTTTAAAGGATACTGGCTTGGCCTTACCAGGAGAGATCCCAGATTATAGGTAATACCTACAAGTTCTGTCCTCTTCCCCTCTCCTGCAGTTCCACTGGTCCACACCACAGGAACAACTGCAGCTGCCACTTCAGTCAGGACCTTGCTGCTGACAGGAGTTATTCCCTGCACAACAAGAACTGCTGCTTGGACACATTTAGTTTCAGTAATTATAGTTTCAATAGCCCCAGTTTTCAATTTCATTTCTGCCTCAACTTGCCCAATCCATCTCTTCCTAGCAGAACTTTGGGCAAGTTTGACAAATAGAGAAACTGAGGAATTACGCAATGTTTTCCCAGTTTAATCCCTGACACACCAATCACTTTAACACTGCCAGTCCTTAATTCTCCTTCTACTGTCTTAAGGTCTGAGGAAGTTGGACCTGTGTCTGACCAGGACATGTGCAAACCAAATGCTGGGGACTGGAACACACACCTGGCACTCCTGCAGCTCTCACAGTCACATTCCAGAGAAAACAGCCAATTGGACCCTCACTGCTCATTTCTTCATCCCAATCCCACACTTCTTTGGCACTTGGAGCACCACTTTTAGAACCCAATTGCAGCCCATTAGAGAGCTCCATGTCTAGCAGGGACAGGGACCCCTGGGATACTCTCAGCAATGCCTGAATCCATGGCAGGGACCTTGCTTTGAGCTCCCCAGGGCCGGGCACCCCGAGGATCTCCCCGAAGAATCCTTTCGGTGCGCGCTGGAGTCCTCGGGGTGCCCCAACCCGGGGGGCACCCACAGCACTGTCCCTCCAGGGGGCCAATTTGGTCCCAAGGCTTCAATGGACAGCCCAAAAGGCATTTCAAGAGTCCTTCTTTGGAACCCACCAATGGGTACGGGGAGGAAGCCACAAGAAGGCCTCATTTCTAAAGGCAGGGGGATCTTGCCTGTGTCCCAGACTGGTCCGGGGATCTGAGGCCCTTCCCGAGAAAATCTCGGTGCCGGCGTGAAGGACCAGAGATCCCTTGGAGCCACGGGAGAGCAGGCACAGAGTCCCTCCTGCAGGGCCAATTCTGCTGCCTGAAAACAGCTCTTCAAAGAAACTTCTAAGACTCAATTGGTGAGGTTTAGAAGCCAGGCATTCCTACACACTATGAGATATTTTAAAAGCTTACTGAGTGAAAAAACATCAAGCTTTTATCAGTGACATCTGGTCTCAAACAGACAGCTCCTTTCTCCTTTCAGTACAAAATTATTTTCATGGAATCATTTAAGAGGAAGTGCCCAGGAACCCCAGACTGTGCTTTCCAGAACAGAAAATAAACAGAGGCAAGGAGCTTTGCACAAGTGTAACATACTCCAGAACACACCTGACTGTAGTTTTACTCTTGATGTTCAAATATAGCAGAAGACAAAAACTCCAGCAGGAGAGCTGGCACATTACCCATGGTACCCTGAAAGTCCACCTTAGGAGAGCTGGAGAAAAATCGCAGTTGTGCCAGTCCCTTTTGCCTGCAGATGCCTGGGGATCCTCTCCATCCACCTCATGCTCTCCCAACAGCAGAAAGGGTGACCTCGGGGACATGGTGGCACTCCACATCCTGCTGAGAGAGCAAGGAAACCTTTAGCAGAAAGGGGTGTTGGAATCTAAAACTTCCTTTCCTGGGACCTTTGTGAAGCCTGCAACCAAGAGGGGGAAAATTTGCATCTCCTTTGGTGCAGGTGTCAACAGAGGCCAACAGAGCTTTCACCTTGTTCAGACAACTGGGCCCCTTTTGGCTCCCTGGCAGCTCCAGTGGCACCAGAACCCCCTTCCAGCACACACACGGGTGTCACACACAGCCACCCACACACCTTTGCTCCAGCCCACACGTGGCCAACATTTCCTCACCCTGCACATCCCAAGGGCAGTAGTTTGGCTAGAGAGCACAGCAACCCCCCTGTCCTCACAAACTGCCTCCCTGCAAAAAAAGGAATCATTTCTCCTGGACACTTCGCCCACAGTCAAGGGCTTTTCAAATGTGCTCAGGGTCCCTCCCGGCTTCTGCCTGTCCTTGCATTTCAAGGCATGGCCATGTTTCAGCAGCAGAACCCAGCTCCTCACGGGCAGTATAAGCCCTGCTCTTACCTGGACAGACTCCCGGGCTCGGCACAGCTGTGGCTCATGGAGCAGCTTCCCAAGGCCCTTCTCTCTCCCGGCAGGAAGCACAACTCGCCTCCACTCCCCAGCACCAGGGGAAACCACGAGCCAGGCTGCAAATTGACACAGAACGAGCAAAAAGCATTAACGCAGCACCAAAAACACCCCAAGCTAAAGCAGTCTTTGCCTCGGAACCCTGCACAGGGAAAGGCTTTGGAATTCCAAAGCAAAACTCGATCCACCCAGAGAGCACCAGCCCCGCAGTCCTGCCACGGCTCCCCCAGGCTCACCCGGCAGGGAAGGGGTTTACCCGGCCCCCGCTGCCCAGCACAACGCGCCCCTAAACGCCCCCCGGCTCCCCCGGCCCACAAACCCAGCGGCCAAGGCGCTCTCCCCTCCGCAGCCCGGGCAGCAGCGGGGCCGCGCCCTCAGCCCTCACACACACAACCGGCCCCACCCACCCCGCCGGCCCTTTATACCGCGGGCCGGCAGCGCTGCCCAATCAGCGCTCGAGCGCCGCCGCCCAATCCCAGCCCGCCGGTCCCCGCGGCCCCGCCCCGCCCGCTCCGCTCAGGGAGATCGGGAACTGGGGACAGGAACCTGCTGCTGGGGGAGACACCCTGGACATGGAATTGCACACGGGCACCTGAAGCCCAGGCGATTTGCTTGCCTTGGCAAGGCCCTGTGTTGCTCCCAGGCACAGGAAATCTCTGTTTCCCTGCCCAGCCCTGGAGACAGGTGGCCCCTAAAATCCCCGGCAATCAGGAAGCACAGGCTGCAGGAGCTGGCAGGACCCAGTGGCCGTGTGTGCCGGGTGACACCGTGTCCTGCAGCCCCACGGACCTGCACAGCAGGGACAGGTCCTGGCAGCGTTTCAGTGCCGAGGCCAAAGCTGAGGCTCAGGGACAGCTGGGGCACGTGGCAGCTCTGGGAATCTCTGCCATGGATGTCTGGCCATTCCAGGACTGCCTGCTGGGCAAAGGAGCTTCTCTGCAGACTGTGGAACCAACAGGTCTCATGGACTGTAAGAAGCCAGAACTGCTGCAGGACTGTAGAGGAATCTGGGTCAGAAGAGACAGTCCAAGGTCTCTAAGTCTGACCTCCTGCTTAGGCCACAGTCACCAATGGGATCGGACCGGGCTGCTCAAGGAGGGATCCAGTCATGTTTTGAACCATTCCACGGATGGGGATACAACAACCTCCCCAGGCAACCCATTCCATGAGCGACTGCCCTGACAAAATACCTTCCCCTCCTATGCGGTTGGAAGCAACAGCTGGGCTGGCAGGAGCAGAACCTCCCTGCTGGGCCATTCCCCAGCAGCCCAAATGCCCTGTACGGGGCTCGGTGCGGAGGCCTGGGCGGCTCGTTCCTCCACCTGGGCATTTTAGGAGCTGCCCTTGCCCCGTCCCTGCCAAGTCCCTCTGGCAGTGGTGCAGCTCCTCAGCTGGAGTGCCTCTGAGGGACCCCCGGCCACATTTCCCAGCAGCTGAAGGAAGGGAGGGTCACCCCCCAAGCTGGGCTGCCTTTCTCTCGCTGCCTTTTCCCCACCTTTACACTGCAGTGACAAGAGCTGCACTTTCCCAGGGAACGGGGCAGGGACAGGGGAGAGCAGCAGGCAGGAACCCCCTTCTTTTCTGCAGGCCAATGACCAACTGTGTGTGAAGGGACAGCGACTCTGGTACCAACTCCACCTCCCACTTCTTGTCACAGATTGATCTGAGGCACTTGTCAGGTCAATACCTGCCCTTTTCAGGAGCACCAGGCTCGTGTTCAGTGTCCTCATTGTAGCCCACGAATCCCTCTAGGTGTTAAATCAGCCGCTCTGATTTAATCAGATGCTCAAATTTAATCAGATTTAATCAGATCTGATTTAATCAGATGCTCAAATTTGGCATTTAAGGTCTCAGCACCATCAGAAAATCCTCTCTACTTCACCAACAGGAACTTTGGTTTCACAA